CGAAGCCACGATCTGGTCACCCCCCCCGGGACTGTCAGCTGCTGCAGCTGGGCTAGAGCCTGGCCATACAGCCCTGCACACCCCCCTCTGCCCTCCCAGGGCCATGCACCCCCCCACTGTGTGTACGCTCAGAGGCTGCTAGAAACCTGGGCCTGGGCCAGGCAGCAGGGACCTGGAGGTAGAGCCAGGACTGGGAAGCCCCCCCCACTAGGCAGCTGCTCTGGGCCTGTCAGTCCCCCCCATGGGACCCACCTGTCACCCCCTGCTGGAACCCTGGGCCTGGGCCAGGCAGCAGGGACCTGGAGGTAGAGCCAGGACTGGGAAGCCCCCCCCACTAGGCAGCTGCTCTGGGCCTGTCAGTCCCCCCCATGGGACCCACCTGTCACCCCCTCGGCAGCCCGGCTCCGCAGGCGAGAGGCAAGTCCCAGGCCCCTCCAGTGCGTTCTTCGCCTGCGACCTGCCCAGGGCTTTTCCTACAAGTGTCCCTGGCGACATCTTAGCCTTTCCCGTGGCTCCCAGCAGCGCGAGAGCTCAGACCCCTCGGCCAGCGCTAGGCAGCACTGGGGGGCTGGCACCCCCAAACCTCCCTGCTCCCAAGGGGGCTGGGCAGCACCAGGACACCTCCCCGTTCCTGCCCTTTGGGCACCCCACATCCCGGGGCCTCTCTTGGGCCCAGCCCTGTCAGGCTGGGGGGGCCCTGGCGGAGCTGCCCCAGCCTAGATGGGGGTCCCAGTGCTCCCAACACGAGGGGCACCAGGAGGAGCAGCGCTGGCAAGTGTAGGGCTGGGGGTGCATGGCTGGGCTCCCTGATACAGCCTCCTTCCCCTTTTCCTTCTCCAGACCGTCCTCCCAACCCTTCTCCAGAGCTACCCTCGGGCCTGTCGCCCGGAGCCATCGCTGGGATTGTCATCGGGTCCCTGGCGGGGGCGGCGCTGGTCGGGGGCCTGCTCTACTTCCTGCTCTGCAGAAATGGAAGGTAACGGCAAGAGGAAGAAAGGGAGGGGTGGGCTGGTCAGACAGCTGTCAATGGACAGACGGACAGACGGATGGATGGATGGATGGACGGACGGACGGACAGACGGATGGATGGATGCGTCTGTGGGTGGATCAGTGTATAGTCCTAAGTGGAGCGCAGGATCTGCTCCAAGAGGTGACTGTAACTGCTTGGAGCTAGGGAGCAGCAGGTAATAACATTTAACATCCGCGTGGTGGGAAGGCAAACGTCAGCACCGGGCAAACTAGTTGAAACGATGGTAAAGGATGAAACGGTCAGACACAGACATGAGATTGTTTGCAGGGGGAAGGTCCACATGGTCTCTGGAAGAGGAAATCCTGCCTTACTAATTGCTAGAGTCCTTTGAAGGGGTGAACACACATGTGGGCAAGGGGGACCCAGTGGATCCAGTGGACTCAGATTCCCAGCAATGCTTTGACAAGGTCCCTCACCAAAGGCTCTGAAGGAAGCTGTCATGGGATAAGAGGGACGGGCCTCTCGTGGACAGAACTGGTGAAATGACAGTGAACAAAGGGCAGGAATCAATGGTCAGTTTTCCGAGTGGAGAGAGGTAACCGGTGGGGTCCCCCCAGGGTCTGTCCTGGGCCCGTCCTATTCAACCTATGCATAGAACTGGAGAAAGGGGGAGAGTGGGAACTGTGCAGGTGACACTGGGGGTGTTACAGTCAGTCGTTGCTGTATTGGGCTGTGTGTGCGTGTGTGTGTGTGCGTGCGTGTGCGCGTGTGTGCACGCGTGTGTGTGCGTGTGTGCGTGCGTGTGCGCGTGTGCACACATGTGTGTGCGTGTGTGCGTGCGTGTGTGCATGTGTGTGCGCGCGCATGTGTGCGTGTGCGTGTGTGTGCGTGTGTGCGCACGTGTGTGTGTGTGCGTGTGTGTGTGCGTGCGTGTGTGCATGTGTGTGCGCGCGCATGTGTGCGTGTGCGTGTGTGTGCGTGTGTGCGCACGTGTGTGTGTGTGCGTGTGTGTGTGCGTGCGTGTGTGCATGTGTGTGTGCGCGCGTGTGTGTGTGTGTGCGTGCGTGTGTGTGCGCGCGCGTGTGTGTGTGTGCATGTGTGTGTGTGTCTTTCCAGGGCCCTGCACTGGCTGCAGGAGGTCGAGGGGGGGGGGGAGGACTCACCCCACAGTGTGTGGGGC